AGGACAGTATTTAATGATATGGCCCGGGTCACCGCAAAAAATGCACTGGCCCCGGTCCAATCGTTGTTGCCATAAAGTCTGGTCCAGACCCAAAGATTCCCAAGGCCTACCCTGAGGTAGCCCTGGGTGCCATCCGCCTACCCTATAGGGAGACCTGTTTCTAGGACGGTTTTGCGGGGGACCTTGACCCCTGCCTCCCGCTTGGCGGTTTCCTCCTCTGCCGCCAACCCCCTGATCGCCCTGAAATCAGCTCCCTGAGGCCCGCCCCCCTTGGCCCTGGCCTCGTCCTCCTCCTTGCGGCCTCCCTCCGGCTGCGACAGCAGCGTAAGTTCTCCCCTGACCCACACCGCTGTCATCTTCCTCTAACCCCCACTCAATCTGGTCGTAGGGGACCTCATCCACACTACCCTCATCTAGAGTTAGGACAAGGCTATCCTTAGTCTTCACCTGCCCTGAGATAGTGCGGCCTTTCCATTGTTTTCCCTTGTCCAAGTCTTTGTGCCAGAAGGTAGACACAAATGCAGACTTGGCTTCAAAGGCCACCACCTCACGACTAAGAGAATCATAGGTAGTGGTCGAATCTTCGCTCTTCGCGAAGAAGTGCCCTCGCAAGGCTTCGGGGATAGCCCGGTAGAAGAGGCTGACCAATTGGGTGTCTGTGACCCCATGGTCAGGAACAGCGATTAGTTCATCCATCGTGCTCTTGAGTGCCCTGACACTCTTCCACTTACGAGCGTGGATTGTCTGGAGCCTATCTGAGGCCTTGACACTTCGAGCGACATCTGCAAATCGCTCGCGCAGCAATCTCATAAACTCAGTGAGGGAGGTAAAGGACGAATAGGCAACTGGATCGTCATTGCAGTTAGCGACGCGCACTAGGGACCTTGCAAAACTGGCGGCCTCATCTTTAAGCGCGTGGATCGCGATCAGGACATGCTGATCTAGGGAGACCTGTTGCAGATGCACATAGGTCTTAACGTTGGCTTCCCAATTGTCAAAGTTCTCTTCCCTTTTCCCACTATAGGAATCAGGGAATTTGACCTTGACTGGCTCTCTACGCGGCGGGCGTGGTTCCTCCTCCTTGGGAGCGGCCACTTTGACGCCTTCAATGSCGCCGACGCAGAAACGCTYTGTCTTCTCGAGGYGATGATTCACCTYGGCTCCTACSRCTCCTATCAGTTYGCGCGCAAAGTCCCRGAATCCCATTCGCATCGAGCGCACAGCTATGTCCTGGCTTCRRCTAAATTCGTACTGCTGCTCTTGTATCTTYGCTAACCGCTCAACGCTCTGGGCAAGGATCTCTACCTTTCGTTCGAGGTCTACCTGAGGGGTCAACTTTAGGCTTAGTTTCTGCACTTCTTCTAATTCCTYGACCGCCTCACTCGCCGCCTCCACCCTTCTCTTCTTCTCTCTCATCATCGCGAGTTTCCACTCCATCCTCTGTTCATCCTCCATCGCCTGTCGCTTTAGCACATCCCTTTCTGCTTCCCATTTCTTCAGGGCGGCTTCCTGGTCATCTTTAGGGATAAACATAGTCACTTCTTCCTCCTCTCCCGAGGACAAGTTAGCAACCCACTCTGAAATCCGTTTCTCCATCTCATCATCCCTGTTGCCACTGTGGTGCCCTCTCCTTCTTTCTAGTGGCGGTCCCTCATCTTCTTCCTCTTCCACCTCTTTCAGCTTATCCTCTTCTTCTTTCTTTGTTCTCTCCTTCTCTCTGGCCATCTCTTCCTCTATCTTCTTCAATTTGGCCGCCTGCTCCTCCTTCAAGGCCTTCTTCTTGGCCTCCTTCTTCTCCTTCCTCTCCTGCAAGATGGCGGCCATCTTCGCCTCCTCCTCCTTTGTGTACGGCATGGTGGAGGTGCCGCCCCGGGTGTCTACCATGGTGGTGTCAGGTGCACGACAAAGGTCCCACTCCTCACCACTTGGACCTACCCGGACACAAACCTACTGACTGACTTCCTAAGGACCACAGGATAAGACCCTGTCAACTATGGTCACTAACCCAAGACTACTCTAAGGCTGTCACTACTGAACCAAAAGCTGATCTGGAGGCATTTAAGGAGATCCCCCGTAGCTCCTCAAGAATTATTTAACATGGCAGTCAGGACGACGTGATCAGTGTGGTTCTTCCTGGCGATTTCAGCCCACAACTCAGCCGTTCCAGCCTACTGTGCCACACCGAGCAGCCCGTCGGTCTGTACCGGTCCTTGGAGGGGTTCATATCCCTCGGGACAGTCGAGTCGTCAGACACAGATCATCAGCCTTACTAGGTCCGGTAGGGGAGTGGTTCAACCAGGCCTCAACACTTAAAGACGGCCTTCGTTTCAGCCTACAGCTCGGAGTTCGGACCCTCTACACTGAACTCAGTAGACTTGCCGGACAGTACCGGTCATTGGGCTAGACGAATTGTTTAACGAGCGCTCGCCGCTCATGCCCAGGTCTCCGGATGCCAGAGTAGAGATTAGTCCTACTAAGTCCCGTGCAGGTTTGGCAGCAAGGCCCTATCCTTCATCCACAGAGTCCTATCACCTAGGACAGAAGAGACTCAATGCAGAAAGAGAGACAGACAGACTCAGCAAGTACCGTGGGGTAAGTGCACATCCACAGGGTAAGGGGATAGGCTGTAAGGTCAACGAGATATCACCAACTCCAGCTTGGTCAAAATCTTGGTCGGCAGCTCTGGTCAACACCTTGGTCAACGCTGAGTCAACGTGGACAACCCCCAGTCAACGCTTGGTCAACGCCTACTCAACCCTCTGGTCAACCCTCTGGTCAACCCTTGGTCAACCCTTGGTCAACCCTCTGGTCAACGGTCTGGTCAACGCCCGGTCAACCCCTCACCTCGGCTATGGCTGCCGGCACCTTCACCTTCGTCACCCTCGCCGTCTACTTCCCCTTCCTTCACTTTCTTTCTTCTTCTCTTTCGCTTTTTT